ACGAGGCACAGAAACTTTCCAACCATTTCCCAAACACATATACAAGAGAGGACACTCTCGAAACAGCACCGAAAACAACAACGTGTTCAACACGGACACGGGCGAAATTGAATTTTATCGCGCGTACGTATGTGTGCGTACGCGAGAGAACCTCGGTGAACTCAAACGGGACCCCAATTGAAAAATCGTAATCTACGATTAATTGGTACAAGACGGGTCACTGGCTAATCTCCGTTCCGCCGCGCGAAACCGGAAACTTAATTGAAAACTCGCGTCTAACGAGTTCCGCGAGCGATGCGGGTGGCACGTCCACCCACCTGGCGCGTCTTCGTGCACACACGCGTATTCAAGGGAACGGCTCGCGCATATTTCTCCGTGGCCTGACTTACGGCGTATACTGATCATACAATGTATGATAATCGATGATGCTGCACGACAGGTTACCGTAAACGAAACACGATTCATCATTCGAAGCATCGTGGCGAGCCACCAACCCGTGGCCGGCCGGGTTATCATTTCATTGCGAGCAGCCAACCACTTTTTTTCCATAATTAATATTGATTAATCGACCGGGGCGTGTTTGATGATTGTCAATCAGCCGGCCATTGTGTCGCTGTCTTCGCCGCTTTGAACTCGCGCAAATGATGGCGTAACGCTTCTTCTTCCCGATGATGGCATTTCCGATAGACCCGACCTGGCAATTGATGAATTTTCCAGTTGATTATTTTAGAATCGCGCGATAAAGATCTCTCGAGAACTTTCGAGAATTACGAGCTATCGCCGTCGGGAGAGTTTAGCGCTGCTGCTTGAAAAAAAAAAAAACCAGTGGTATTTGAAACTAGAGAAGAGAAGAAAATATCTTCCGGGCGTGACAAACAGTTACGAGCAACTCTGAGAAATCTATGCTGTGAATTGAAATAATACTCGAGCGACGAGCATTTCCAAGCATACCATCGAAACTCGACGTAAAGTGGTAGCCAGTCAAGCGACTGCTTTAATTGTCCAGCTGAACTCGCAAGTTTCGAAGAGCCGACTCTGCCAGTGAATTAATCGAGGACGGTTTGTTCGCGACGAGACAGACGACGGGCGTATCGTAACCGGCGATTCCCACTTATCTCTCTTTGCCGGCTGGCCGTGTCCGATTGCTGGCAGCGGAACATTAATGTCCGCCTATTATCCCTCAATTTGGCAGATTCGAAAAAAAGCCCCGCCGTGCAAACTCTGCCCATAAATCGGCGGATTAACCTCGCGTTTAACATTATCAATTACCCCCTTGGCTGGTACGACTCGCCGGGTCGTGAAAGTGTCTGGACGTGTACGCGCGCAACGGGCAACGAGAGAGGAGAACAAGAGGCGCGGAGGATAGAAAGGCGAAACCCGGTAAAACCGCGTTATTATCGGTAATCCTCGGTGTTAGCTCTAACCGGTGGGCGAGGCAACTCATTAAAGAAGAGCAAAGTTTTTGCATCTGGAGGAACGTTCGCTAGGAGTTTCCTTTCGGAGACCGATCAAAATGTAGCAAAATGTAACATTTAAAAATGAAATTAGGCACGAGTTATTGCAACTCTGATATATTCGTGGAACGACGATCTTTTACGTAGGGTTGGAAGTATAACGATTGGAAGAAGAATGAAGAGAAAAGAGTCATAGAACTGTCGGTATGTTCCGACGACTCTGTGCTCTATTTAGATACCAAAGATCATAATCCTGATAAAGAACAGAACCACGGCAAGAGTTAATACTAGAACTGACGACGATCAAAGCATAAAATTTTCAATTAGAAACAGAAAAAAAAAATAGGAAAACTTTATAATACAATGGAGAAGTACACCAACTGTTTGTTATATAGATTTTACGAAACATCATTTAAATCTCTAAAAATACACTGTTCTACGTCTTACAAATTGGTCATTTCGACCACTTTGATAGTTCTGCTCTTAATAATCCTAACCAGACGTCCAAAAATGGCGGGGATTCAAATATATATGAGTAGCTTATCGGTGAGAAGAAACAGTCCATTCAAAGCAGAGACTAATTAAGCGAAGCTACCCGCTACAGATAACGCAAGGAAATGATCTCTCATTAATTATATTTGTAACGATTCCTCGATACAATTGATCGATCGATTTCACGATAAGGACAACAGTATCTGTAACATGGACGCATTTTTTCACACAGGATGAAACGACGAAGAAAACCGCAATTTTTGGAACGAACGTGTCACATTGGAAGCGTAGCGCGATTAGGACGTCTCAGGCTATTTTTCGGAATCCAATAGATTACGACACCGTCACTCGCAATATTTACGGCCCGTTCGAGTTCAACGGTCGGGCCAGCTGCAGAAATACTAGGGCTGCGTTTCAATTAAAAATCAATCTCAGCCACGATTCATCAAACGCGCGAAACACGCGCGAACTCGCGTCCGTTTTCCAGTAATGCATCTTCGGTCGAGCGCGTTTCTGGCCGGCTGGCATGCGTCCGGTCGACCACAACGTGGCCGTTTGCATAAATCTTCGGCTCGTTGATTCACGACGGACAACCGTAGGGGACTCGCGTGCGTGCGTGCGTGCGTACGCGCGTTACGCAATATTCCACGTTGTTGCGCGCGCTGTGTCTCTTCCTCCTCGCCGAACCAAATCGATTACATACCTCTTAATCCCGTTATCTCGTGAGTTTCTTCGTTTCTGCGCGCGAATCGAGGAACCACGTCGAAGCAGTTTTAAGCATCGTTTGACGCATTTTTTATTATTCTTTTTTTTTTTCTTCTTCAATCAACTGTCAGACAAACGACAAACGAAACTGATTTTCCCTTGAGAGTCTTACTGCGTCGAATTATGTATAGTTCTGCGCCTTTGTCGAATTCTCTGGCAAATATTTTATTTTTAACAGCAAGAAGAACGAGATTCCGAGATTTCATAACCTAGCGTGAAAGATGTAGACGAATTCGAGACGTCTCAGCCCGTTTGATCGACGTTGCCGGTTATTTTAAAATCGGGAAATGCGCCCGAGAAATATTTCCGGCGGGATCGGGTAAGGTGAAAGGCCGATATGCGTACGGTAGCTCTTAGCCGAAGGGTTGAACGTCGATTCCTGAATTATTAAGCGCGTTCCCTCCTCTCTCTCCTTTTCTTCAAACTAATTGAACAAGTCCAATCGTCTTGAATAGTTGGAAGAGTCGGAGAAGTGGAAAACACGGGAAAATAAGATAAGAATAGAAAAGATAGAAAAATAAAAAAAAAAGTACGACGAAAAACTCAATGAGAGAGGGAGAGGGAGCATGGATAGCGATCGTGCGGGAAACAAAGGGGCAAGAAGAGATTCGATTAAATTGTGAAACGACTCATATTGAATTTAGCCGCGTTGATCCACCCTGATGTTGTCGGTGTTTGGTGGCGTCCGATCGCGGAGAGGGTGGAGAGGGGAGAATTTTTCCTCTCCGCCGGAACAAATTGCGAGTAACGATACCGAGCGGCCGATTTCGTGTAGTCGAAATTACGCGGCACTAATTACGAGCATTTACCAGCAAACGAGCCATTACCGCGTAACGAGGTAAGCCTTGGAAATTACAATTTTACATCGATTACGAGGCAATCGAGACGGCGACTTCGATAATCGAATGAAAGACGCGCAGATAGCAAGCCGGGCACCGGCCCGGTCAAAAGTTAAACCACCGTGTCGATAGTCCCGAGCACGTTCTAAGCGCGGCGACGACGCCGTTCGATCGCAAATCTATTGGCCGCTGGCCGTGTATTAATTAGTAACAGTAATGTCACGGACGAGTTTGCATGCGACCACGTGGGTGAGCGGTCGGCGGCGAAGAGAATCGATGGCCAGTGAAAGTTTGTTTCGAAGCGAAACGGGGGAAGAAAGGCGGCTAGAAATAGAGCGAAGAAAAAAAAAGGGGGGAGGGGGATGGAACAAGAAAAAGGAGGCACGCGAAGCTCGATGGAAAGCACAGACGGTGACGAGTAAATTGCAAGTAGACTCGATCCTTGATAAACTAGATTCGAATCCTCTACAAGTATATCGAAAAGTACTACACTATTACAATATTCTCGAATTGTTAATGAACTGAAACTTGAAATTGAAGAATGAAATTGCTGATGGATTTGAACCATCTACGAATACTCTGTGATATAAAAGAGAATTAAAATGGAGCACTTTCGATCGAACAAGTTCGAAACCTTAGGAGTGATCTTATTCAAAATTGTTTTCATTCTAAAAGTGGCATTTTCTTAAAGCGATTTGTGATAATATTTGTGATCGTTCAGTGTCATTTCGATGCATAATTTAGTTCTTAATTATTGACTAAAACAATACAATAATATTGTTTTTTTTTTTAGATAATTTTAAAAATTGTGTTTGAATGTTTATAAAGCTAACACTATAACACGCTTCTGTTCACATATTCGTGAACATTTCCTTATTCGACTATCGCTCAAATCTATCGAAAAACTTAGATAGTTTTATTCAAACTACATTTAAACTTACATACATTAAAATTAACATTTAAAACTTAGTTTAACATAATGGTTAAACATAGTTTTATGAAACTTGTAAATATTCATTTCGATGTATAACATTCGAACTTTATGAAACTATGAACTTTACGCATTCGTCTCGAATCTGACAAATACATATTGGACACGATCCTATCACTACTCGCGACAAAAGTAACAAATGCAATTAACACAGTTCCTCGAGGAGCTTAGTTCACAAGACCTGTGAAATGATTGAACTTTCAACTGAAAATGTCTGAAAGTACCAACTAGAACCACATACGTCGCAAGCGGACGTATGATCCAAGATCCCGCGAGATGTAATAATTAGCGAGCAACGCTGACAATTTTTCATGAATCAACGATCCATTCGACGCGATCCAACTGTGACGAGATTCTGGAAAATGAGCAGAGAGATAACGAGGCGCGTTTGACAGCGTTTGAGGGTCAATTAATTTGCCGGGTCAATTAATATTCCAATCGGTATTTCTTTTGTTGCAGTGTCGCCGCCATTGCCGCCTCTGGGTGAAACAGCGTGGGAGAGGAACCGGGAACGAGAACGCGACAGGATGCGAGAGAGGAGCACGGAGAACGAGCAGCAGAGGGAACGGCAGCAGGAACGAGAGTCGGGGATCAGGGAGAGGGAGCCGCGGGATCGAGAAAAGGAACGGGATCGCGATAGGGAGAGGCAAAGGGACAGGGAAAGGGACAGGGAGCGGGACGTGTCGGTCCGCATGATGGAACCGCTCGATCCTGTCTTCGTTTCCCCCTCGGCGGCCCTGCTCGCGTTACAGAGGATAAAGGAAACGTCCCTGTAAGTACTTTTGCCGATGGTATCGCGATACCCGCGGCGAACCAGCCGATTTTTTCCACGCTCTTGACAGATGTGTAGCAGCGGCTGCGCACACCTTCGTACCCACCGTTCTTTCTCTCTTTCTTTTTCTCCTCTTGTGAACCAGCAACAAGATGCGCTCTATTACCGAAGTGTGTGAAGCGTGCGATCGTCGGCTTACACTTAGGTCTATATTACCGTGTCCGATTTCACATTTTAGCTTAAATATTTGAACTATATGCTACAGTTTAAGCACTAGAATTTAAACTATAAACTGTAGTTAAAGATATTTAAACTATGACCGTGTGTATTCACAGAGCTTCGTAGAAATCGAGCAACTCGAGCGCAACGTGAGTTATTGGACGATTCGCGGATAGAGGATAGAGGATTGAAAATGTAGCGCAGGCAAGCGTCAATTGCGTCATCGAATGAAGTCGACAGAGGATTTACATAGACTGTCGATTGGCTGACTTTATCATCGATTTAGAATCGGTGGAAAACAGCAGGATATCAGCGGCCCCGATGCCTACACGCCGTCATATTTCATCGAACGTACAAGCGCGTCCAGGGTTAATAGGACGAGATCGTGCACCCGCTGTAAATCTCGTTTAATTTGCTCTCGTGCGCTGCCGCGACTGTCTTTCCCATTGTCGAGCGCGCGTCCAGTCCGCCGCCGACGATCTCGACGAAAAGACCCGACGTTAGAAAACATAGTAATCTCGTGACACCCGGCTGCACGAACGTCTAACAAACCTCGTTTCATACGGAGCGTCACGATTTCTTTCCAACGTGTGTACGTCGGCGAGTCTCGTCTCGATTTACCTCGATTTTACCTCGATGACATAACGGTTGATACTTCTGTCTTGGAATCTTCCCCTCTTGATCGTTCTTTCCGTGTCAATGACTCTATTAGAGCTTCCGAATGATCCTCGAAAGATTCTCGAGTTGACAATGTTTCGCACTTGTGACGTTTGAAAACGTTTCCGCGCGCAGGAAAACAGGGACGCGCTTCCAATCGAAAAATCTCCGACGAACGTATATATCCACTCAAGTTTGTTCAAGTTTGTCAATTTTTCTGTAAATCAAAGGATTTTCTATATACTAGTAGACGTGCATTGAGAGTACGAATCTTTCAGTCGTCAATTAAATTCATTTCGAAATTAATTTTTGAATTCAATTCTGCCCGCAAGTGAGTCTGACATGCACACATTGGCGCTCATTTTTATTTCGTCTTTGATACCTATTAGTCGATTGCTTAACCAGTTAATAGAACTGCGATGTCACGTTGTTCACATACGAGGCGAAATGGGCCTCAATAATGGTACCTGCGGATCGCGTTTCGTGGATCGTCACCAGCATCGTGGATCGAGGCCTGTCCTCTCGTGTCCCAATGCCGTTAACCGATAGTTATACTTCACGTTTCTCATAAATCTCCGCCGGTTCTCTGTCTGTTTCCGTCTAGATGTACGCGCGCGTATGTACGTCGGCGACTTGCACACGCACGCATGCACGCACGCACGCGAGTGCAGCTACGCACGTGTACACGTACCGTTGTACATCGGTACCCGCATGTCGGAGCCCTCCTGCAGAGGAACTGCCGCAAGCTTGCAGCAATACTTCACGACAAATGTACTTTCCAGTTCCTCCTTCGCCTTTCCAGCCAGCCCAGCCACCACGCGGTTACCTCCTTGTCTCCCGAACAATGATCCATTTGGTAGTTTCTACTCTCTGCAGACACGCGGCGCCGACGAGATTTCGACGCCGTGGAAGCTGATGGAATTATCGCGAAATAAATTACCGCCCGGATATGGCGATATCGTGGGAATATTAATTACAATCACGGGGAAACAGACACGCTGCAATTACCGAACGTGTTAATAATACGAAGCTAATCAGTTGCCAATTATTCTTCGATAGGATAATTACAGAGTATTAATCTCATCTGGGCTCGATGAAATTTGATTAAAAGTTAAGACTCCGAATTCCAATTCTCGGACAAGTTTGAAACCTCGAATCAAAGTGTTTAAACAAATCTCAAGGTATTTTGCAGAAAATCTTCGCGTTATATAGAGATCAGAGTAATCTTAACGCTAGAACTATCGATGGCTAAAGTATTCGTAGCAAAGAAATGAAAGTGCAACGTACAGATTAATACAAATTAATTAGCACAAGCTTCTATTAATATATTTATTAAAAAATCACTCGAAATATCTAAAAATACACTGTCACGAGCATATAAAATTTTCTAAATATAGAAAATTATAAATCAGTTGTTTTGTTGTTAGGTATCTCAAAAATAATCTCGTCAAATCGCGCAACGCGTTCCTAGAAAATCATGCGAAAACGTTAGAAAACATCCCTGAGAGAGCGTAGCCGTGAACCTCTGGTCGAGGTTGCGGAAATCGGGAAATCGTACGAGAGGGTTTTGTTTCTCGGAATAGAAGCGAGTAGGATTATCACGAGTGGAAGCAGATTTATGCCAGTTTAAACAGCGAGTCTGCGGGTCTGGTTTACGGCACGAGGCGTGCGAGGCTGGGCTTCGTCCCGATGAAATATGGCTTGGCCAGGGATGCGTCAGTGGTACCACCGGTGCCGTTTTATCCGGTTAACTTGAAACGAGCGAGTCCCGCTGAAAATTCCTTTTTGCCACCGACAAAATTCTGAAACACGGTCAAACTTGACAGAATGACTCGATGTCGCACGTTAATTCGTAATGTCTCTCGCAGAGAAATCGTTATTGGCCATTTTTCAGCTCGACAAAATGAAAATACTTTCCATGAACTTGAGACTTGTAACTTAACGCGAGATTAACAAGTCCAGAAATGGTATCGTTTCGAAGTATCTTAAATTATCTTTTTCCGACAATTGCCTCGGCAATCCGTTCGGCGAGACAATTGACCGCGAGTACGAATTTGGTCGCGAAACAAGTTTCGCCGGGTGTCGAGTCGTAAGATTGATCGATTCGACGCGTCTCGCTTCTTTTTGTTAGCTCCGAACGAAATTCAGCAACCGACGTGCGTCGCTGAGAGAATCTTTTGGCCGAGGGATCGCGATAGTGACTCTCGAGTCCGCAAGAAGAAAAGATGATCTCGGAGTCGTGGAACGATTAGCGTTCTCTCGAGAATTATTAAGAAACTCTCGATAATTATTAATACGAAATTCATATTTACGGATTCTTGCGGATTCTCTAAACGGAAGTCTCAATACGTGTTTTCGTGATTAGTTGCTCGATGGTTTAAGTGGTTTAAAATTATAATAAATTGCGGGCCGATTGCAAACGATAATGGAGTATCAACGTTTACCCCCGTTGGCCACGGCATAATGGACAAATAATTCATGAATATGCATGGGAATGGAGTGCAAAATGGAGCACGTTTCGACGAAGGGGCCCCGTGATTTATGAACGCATTCAAAGCATACGCGCCACTATGCGCTCACACGTGCGATGTTAAGGCTCGAGGAAAAGAAACTTAATAAAGAGACTCGGTGCAATTGCGTAACTATCGCCGACTCTTGATGAGGCTAGCGTTCGAAAACGAAAAAATTTATAAGAAGCCTTAATAGAAATCTCGTAGAGAATCGATTCAACATCGATTCGAAATTGTACGTTAATATACGTTCCTCGACTTCGGAACGTCTCTCTGCAAATTACAGCGTTTGAATATTTGAACGTTTCGCCCGACGTGTTTTCTCAAAACTCTCTCGCGTACTAACAGCCGATCGTCGGCCGAGGGTAACCGATTATTAGGCACTTGGCAAATCCACGAACCCGTTATGGGAAATCACAGTCCTCCTCGAGTCTGTTCGATGGAACATGTGGCGCGCCGGATTGACAGCTCTGTTAATACGACCGTGCAAATCGTCTATCCCGTTAAAAGATCTGTTAAAAGATCTGTTAAAAGACCGAACGTCCTGTCCCTCTTTCCCCCTCTGCGCACGCTTCCATGTAACCGCGCGGATTAACGTAATGACCGCCGTTTCTTCCCTTTTCCCCTCTCCTCTCATCCGTTCGCTGGCTATTATATTTATTCATAAGGCAGACTCTTTCTTCCTCTCTTTCCAGTGGAACATCGCGTACATCGGCGATATTTGTTCCGCGATCGTTTCACGTCGCAAGCAATTTCACTCGTTCTTCGTCCGAACCGGTCATAACGCATCGGAAACACATCGATCGATGAATAATGCATGCCAAAAAGCTCTCTGTATAAATCCATCGCGAATGCGCGCGGAATCTGTCGGAATCTGTTCGTCGAGACTCGTCGAGGAATAAAGTCGACGATACGGCCGGGAGGGGGAGGTCCACGATACGAGGACACGATATACGCAGGCAAGATGAAATAACGATGAAGACGTCTTATCCATATCTGAATTGAAATCACGGCGGGCGACCGTTCCTCGAATTTCTTGCCGCCCCTCTCGCCCCGTTCGTAATCAGACGCACCGCGGGAATCGACACGCCTAAATGAAGAAAAAAAAAAAGAAAAAAAAGAGAAACGAAAGGCAGCTAAATTCGCTTTCACCCCGAATTGTTGTTGTTTCGCGTAAATTGCGTAATAATCGGTCCCTCGTTTGATCTGTTCTTTGAATTTTATCGGTCCTTTCGTCGGGAAATTCTCAGGAGGATGTCTGTTTGAAATTTCAGCGTGTTTCACAAGCGTCCGGCGCTCGCGACCGGATTAGGAATCGGTGGCAGAGTGAACGCCGGTGTCGGAGGGAACGGCGGTAGTTTAGCGGTGGACAACGAATGCGGCGACGCGCTGAAGAGACGCAAGGTCCACAGATGCGACGTGGCAGGCTGCGACAAGGTGTACACGAAGAGTTCTCACCTGAAGGCGCACAAGAGAACTCACACCGGTAAGTCCCGATATTGATTTCAGTGTAACACCGTAAATTCAAAACCACACTACAAAAATTCCAAATCGCTGTGTGCAAACGATGTAGTTAAAAAAGTATTTCAAGACTTGGTCCTAGTAACCTAATCTGTGAAAACAATATGATTTAAATCCCTTCTTAGTGTCCTTTGTTTTGTTTCACGATGTCCAGTCGTTCTTTAGTAGACTTGATAACGCACCTGCACAATTTGCCAATCATCGTCATAGAATTTTACGACAGAAAATAAAAAAAAGGGCATAACTATCCAGCAGTATTCGCCAGACTTTTTCCTTTCTCTCATTATCGCAAAGAGGTAAATGCGATAAAAGAGGCAATTACACGCAATTCTCTTTCAAAATTTTCAAAGCACTTTACGTGTAAATGGGAAACAAACATTTCTCAACTAACGCGATTCAATTTTCCCTACGTCTTTTTGAACACACCGTGTGCACACAAACGTCCAAAGTCGTCCCACTTTCGTACTTTGATCGACCTGAACGCCAGTCGGATTGTCTAGCGCGATGATTCACGCGCACTGGTCGCAGCGATCACGGACGTAGAACGCGAGTTTCGTCACCTTCTTCTCTCTCGCCGCGCGAGAAGGGTTCATAGGTGACGTTGCCGTTTCAAGGTGACGGCGCAAGGTGTGCGCCTTGCAATTACCGAGAAGAGAAGCCTTTGGCGAACGGCTTCGTAGCGTAACACTTTGGAGAAGGCACACCGACCGACGAACAGAGGCTAATTGCTAGGACAATATCCCCCGTGAATGGCTCGCGGTCGCGCGAATCTCTTCTGCGGCCTGATTATTACCCCGACGACGCAAATGGCAAAAAGGAAACTCACCTTTTTGCTCGCCGCCGGTGAGCTCCCTCAGTCATTAGCCCGATCTTCCCACGTTAACTGCCGATCTTCCCCCAAGACACGAAGATACTCGTTATTAACAAACGAAATCTCTGAAGTTTTCGTCCCGATAGCGATAATACTCGGGGCTCGGAGATCTAGCCGCGATGGTTAAGCGGCGTGTCGCGTTGGATGGGTCAACGAGCCGCGACCGCTCGAGCCATTACTCATCGACCGCCTTTGATTCCCGAGTCGAGATACTCGGCAACCGAAGCGGAAAAGCCGCGAGTGAACAGAAGTCGCGTCGAATGGACGAGGATGCACGTGACCGGTCGCGCGATTTCAGGAATTTTTATCGATACTGCGCGCCGTACTGTGTATGTACGCGGGGTACAGGCTTGTTATTCGACCGTTCGTTCGCGCTGTTAGCGACGCTCGCCCGAATGCCAGGCATATTCGTCCCATAGAAAATAGGTTTTTCAAGCGGACCGATTGGAAGGCTAGGAAGAGGAGGGTCATAGGTCTTGGACGTTCGCACGGCGAGTCGTCGTCGTCGTCGTCGTCGTCGTACGCGGCCTCGAAGCCGCTTAGAAATTCGATAGTGCTTTGCCAGAGTGACTGCACAGTTGAATACTATCCATCGAGCGTGCATTTTTAGACGCGGGCCCCCGCGTTTCGTTGGTACATTCGCAGCCGGCCATTTATTATCGCCTCGCGAGGGAACCTCGAAGAGGTCGCGCACACCGTTCGTTCCTCCGCCGCGGCCGCCGCACACACACACACACACACATGTGTGTGTACACAGCGTCGAAGGAGCCGCGGCTTGAAGAATTTCCGGTGGATAGGTACCTTCGTGAAGGCACTGCCGCCTTTAACGTCTACAAAGAGTGCAGAGGCGGCGGGGAGAGGGCGTGGTCGTGAGAACCAGGATCTTTTGTCTGGTCCATGGTTCAACCAAGACCATGGTGTAACCGCGGTGCTCAACCACGGCCTCCGTCGCGTCGTCTCACACGCGGAAAATTAGAATTCCGCCGCGTTCCTCTACCGCGGCACGTTCGTTTTGAAGATAATGTATAACGTCGAGTCTATCTTCCTTCTTCTGTTCGTCTTTCACTTTAGATTCCTGCCTCCGTTTTACAATCACGTGACAAGGCGAGAAGAGAGTAAAGAAAGACAATTGTTTATAATATTGTCGCAAGTCATTTATGTTATTTCAAGTAACGTCGCTTGCATGGTTAAACGGCTCATCGATCCAACTTTCACACTGTGCCAGTGCCTTACTCAACGTAAAACTCAATGAGAGAGTTTTTAACATGACCTCCTACGATCATCGTGATTCAAAAAGTCATAATTTTGAAGAAGCCAGTAACCTGGCCATCAGCCGCGACGAATCGGCAAAGATCTCGCAAATTTGAAAGGAACAAACCGTGGCCAATCGAACATTTCGAAGCACGTTCGGCACATTAGGGTGGCATTATCGTGGATTTGCGAAACCCAGGCCGCGCGAAGCGCCGATAGAAAAGGCCAATAGAGGCTGGTACAATTGTAGCGTGTCGTATAACGGCGCTCGCTGTAATAATTGTTTCAACGATTGTGCAGCACCGGCGGTAGAAACGCGGAGCGGCGCGATCTATCCATCATTCTAACACCGCGGCATTATGCAGCCATCGAGATATCTTTACGGCGGCGGATATGCCGGCACTCTCGATGTGGGAAATGCCAATTCATTGATTACTGTAATTTCTACCATTCCGCGGCATAAATCGTTCCCTACCGCGTGGATCGTGTTCGCGGCGCGGCCGAGACGATCGTCTCGGTCTCTGCTCCTCCGAGTGTTGGAATTTGTCTCGTATGAATAACCTATTGTTCGGCGAAAGGTCGACGCGAAACGGGGTTATCAGAGGCGTCTCGCTGAATAATCTTACGCGCGATAATCAACCGGCGAACTCGCGATAACGTACGATCGTGGTTGATGGAGGTGAAAGAAAAGAAAGACTGTCGACTGTACTCGCGGCTGTATCATTCGTACGGTCGAGTTTGACTTGTTGGGTATTTCAGTAATAAGAGTTTAACTTTAACTTGAGTTTTAGTGTCACGGGCTGTTTAGAAAACCGTGTTGGACAGTGGCATGCGGCGCGATAGCACTTTTTTGCTAGCTTTAACTGCGAAAAGTGCAAAGAAACGCTCATAAAAGTAGACAAAGTAAAATTTGCCTATTTACGCGCGTGGTTTAGATTTAATTGAAAAGAAAGTAATTAGGAAAGGAAGCTTCATTACGACTGATGACGATATGATGCTATAGTCGAGCGCATTCCTACTAATAAGTACTAATAACAAATAAGTCTGTAATTTTTCTATTGCATCCTTTTTTTTTTTAAATTTCCAATATTTTGACATTTGAAAATTCGATAATTTTAACGGCTTTTTGGCCGTGAAACAAATAGAATTTTACAAGATTACGCTTCTCAGCAACGTTTTCTACATCGAAATCGAAATGAGAGTCTGAAATTTTATCTCGGGAACGACGAAGATTTTCAACGCGTTTCTTACCACCGGTAAGAGTTTCAACAAAATACCGTCCACGTCGAGCACCATCGTCGTTCCGAAATCGATCGGCTCCCACCGTGAACAAGCCGAAAAACAGCGAATCGAAGGCCGGCTAACCGTGATTGATGATTCTCACGGCTCGAGCGGTAGAATTTGCATCGAATTTATATCGTGCCGCTCGCAAACTGTATAATGGAGTAATGGCGGGCCGTTGCTACCGCTTTCGATATCGTGTATCTTCCCGAACACACGCCACGAACGTCGGAAGTTACATTGTGCGGCCAGAGGAGGCTCGAAATATTACGAGGATGCGGTAAATGCCGGCTACGGCACGTCGTAATAGCGCCGCCGTTTTCGCGATGCGCCGGCCAACGCGAAACACACGCTCGCCGCTAATAAATACTTAAATCCTTCAATTATCGTACGAAAGTGTCCGACGCGATCGTAGTTGCTCAGCTAGACCGATGCTCCGTCAAAAAATTCGCTCCATCTCGCCCGCGACATGGGAATCGCTGGATGGCGTGACGTGACTCTTGATAAACAACGAGGCAGCTTCCACACTTGAACTCTCTGACTCTCTCTCTCTTTCTCTCGTGTATTAATTAAGGCATATTAACCTCGTAGGCGTAAGCTAGACACAACGAAAGTTTCGTGTATCGAAGGGAAACACCGATTCCTCGTCCCTTCGCGGACTCGAGAGGTGTATCAAACCTACCATTAAAACAATTCGCTTGCGCATTATTGTTCAGGGCTGCGATTACCACTGCCCAGAGCACAGAGTTTCCTTACGTGAGTGTGATTCGTATTCTCGTTATCTCGAGGCCGTCGTTTTCGACCTGCTTTTATATTAAATTCCTTCTTCTTCTTTTTCTTTTTTCTTTCTTTCATTTCGATCGGGCTCGCTCGCCTGGAAATTCGGACCGTTCCGCCACGGGTAATTTACTGCGATTATCGGTACCGCGGTGATTATCGTGGCGATCGCAACTTCTTCTCTTCGTAAAGAAGAAAAGAAAAAAGAGAGAAAAGACGAGTTGGTTGACGGTGTAGGTGGCGCAAACGTACGATCGTTCTTGCTTTGCCAGACGAAAGTTCGACTCACCCACTGTGTTTCCCAACGTTCCCTCCCCCGTGAGAAACGACGATCCGAGTAAATCGGTTTTGCGAACCAAGTGGCTGTTCGAAACTTACACGGTTCGCAATGTACCATCGCGATACATGGGTAGCGAGCGTAATCGCGTTAAAATTCATTAGGCTTCCTCTATCGGATGCAACATCGATCGAGGTAACCGGTGCGATGAGAAGGTAGGTAGGCAGTACTGGTTGCAGGTACTTGAGATATTCTCAGGGAAATGGATTTCCCGGATCGGGCAGGGCAAAATGCAATTAAAAGCGATTGCCAACGGGAGACGCGACTTACAAACGGTCGCCGATCGTTTGATTCTTCTCCAAAGAGAGCCGGCTCGCGCGAGAAGTTGCCTGGGAATTCCGAACTCGCCGGTTAGTTGCGTTAATGGCGGCCCGCCGTTGATGAATCGGTCTCGCCGCGGTTAATTGAAGCTTCTCGAGTAACGCGCGCCGGGCACCCGCGCGACTGT